TAAATGGATGAGAGGGGAATCATGATATGACGCCGACTGGAAGGATGAAACGTTCATCAATATCTGAAGTGTGTGAATGGGTGCTGAAGTCATGGTGTGATATTAAAACTAAAGTTATCGTTAAGTCTTTCAAAAAAATGTGGTATGAGTAATGCTATGGATGGCACTGAAGACAACTTGTTGTACGAGACTGACAGTAGTGTTGATGATGATGATGATAGTTCCTCCCATGATGATTCAGAGCTTGGTGATGAACCCAACAGTGAAGACTTCTCAGGATTTGAAGATGAATAAAAATGCTTTTGACTGGCATGGTGCGACAGCTATTAAACCTTAAACAATGGCTCATGACCCATTAGTTGTGTACAGTGACCAGGTTAGGCTAAGGTTAAGTAAGGTTAGGTTAAATTAGGTTAAGTAAGGTTAGTTTAGGTTTTTGTTTTTAACCCCCGACATTTTCCCAATTTGAAAATATAGGAAGAATCGTAACTCCATAAATTCACTATTATTCATCAAGAAAAACACCATTAATATTTTTATGAGTAAATTATATGGTATTGTCAGCAAAATAACGACTAACGTGAATTAATATAAGTTATCAAAGGACATTCACAGCTGAAGTTTGAAGAAGCAACGTTTAAATACCGTAATTCTCAGGGTAAACTTTTGGAGAGAATTATAAACTCTTTGAACAATCTGCCAGTGTTGTGACAGTAAGAGGCTAACAGACCGATAAATGACGAAGACGATAAAGATAAGTAAAACAGTAAATATAACAGACGCCAAGATGGTTTTCCTCCTTGCCGGTCACTCGACGCCAGCCATTATTTCTCTCTAACTCAATATTCCACTATTAATACGAACTCATTTTCTCTTAAACCATCCACCAATCTTTCATCTACTTTATACTTACTCATCTTCCTTCTCATGTTCGTTATCTGCCATTTTTAACCGTAAATTTATCAGATTCTCTAGAGCTGAACTACCACTCAATGCGCCGGTAAGACGAATGAGCATTGGGCTGTCAGGCAGGGCTGACTTTTGTTTACCGAACACGCTGATTGGTTCAACTGCTCGCGTTGTGATTGGTTGCGAGAACATGATGTAATATTACTATTTGCTATAATAGAATGTGTGGTGAGGGGTAACGAAGATCCCAGATACAGTAATTATGAAAGTAGATTATCGACTTTTCGGGGAAGTAGATTTTCGAATTTTGGGGGAAATATTACCTAATTTTGCGAAGTAGATTATATATAATCAGCAAGCTCAGGAGTACCCATAATGTGATTTTCAGCAAAATCGAATTTTTGGCCAAAAACCACCAAAATTGTAAGTCTTATGCCTTACAAAATTATTGGCCAAAATATACTTTTTTCTCAGAATTGAAATTTAAGGGGTTTAACTAATTAAGTACTTTCAGAATACCACAGAAACCCTAAATCACACCTTGGAAACCCATAGTTGATGAGTAATTAGCAATGAAAAATGTCAGCAAAATCTTTGAAGGGTCATTTTGGCCACTAATTTTTCTGCAATCGAATCGTGGACCACATATGAATAATCAGCAAGCTCAGGAGTACCCATAATGTGATTTTCAGCAAAATCTAATATTTGACCCAAAACCACCAAATATGTAAGTCTTATACCTTACAAAATTTTTGACCAAATTATACTTTTTTCTCCGAATTGAAATTTAAGGGGTTTAACTAATTAAGCACTTGCAGATTAACACACAAACCCAAAATCACACCTTGGAAACCCATAGTTGATGAGTAATTAGTAGGGCCCGGATAGTTATGCATTTGCATATTTCATATGCAAATGCATATTTTGCGTGATTTCTATGATAAGTGCATATTACCTAGATAACTGCATATAAATGCATATTTTGGTAAAATATTCATCTGGCAGTATCTCTTTGTTGCCACTGAATGAGCACACGTGGTACTGGTGAGGTGAGGTGTGGTTAGGTGAAGTGAGGTGAGGTCACGTCGCTTTAATCTGTCGTTTCCACACCTGGTCATGACTCATTGGACTAGTGAGTTAGTCAGTCAGGAGCAGTGCTGCTGTGTGGAGCTACTCTCTTCTGCTGCTCGTGAAAATGCCGAAAGTACAAAGAAACCAAAATGAAGTGCTGAGATCATATGTAAAGGAATTTGATGCATTTACTACTGATGGAAGTGTACTGTTTTGTAAATATTGTGAAGCACCAGTGACAGCGAGCAAGAAATTTCAAGTCCAACAACACCTTAAAAAATACATGTTCATATATATTTTTTGAAGCACTTTCACATATATATGTTAAATACATTACGTATATTGCTTAATAAACATTAACATTAGTTTATATTAACTATTTTGTTTCCGTATAACCTGCATTCTTGGCTTTCTAAGTGAATTTTTAGTGCATATAAATGCATATTTCCCCTGTTTTTAGTGCATATTTGCATGCATATTTCATGGTTTTTTAGTGCATAACTATCCGGGCCCTAGTAATTAGCATTGAAAAATGTCAGTAAAATCTTTCAAGGGTCATTTTGGCCACTAATTACTCCGCAATCGAATTGTGGACCACATATTCATAATCAGCAAGCTCAGGAGTACCCATACTGTGATTTTCAGCAAAATCCAATATTTGACCCAAAACCACCAAATATGTAAGTCTTACACCTTGCTCCTGAGCTTGTTGATATGTGGTCCACGATTCGATTGCAGAGTAATTAGTGGCTGTTACGACCCTTGACCTGTCGTTCCGGCACTTTTGGCGAACCGGCCAAAAAAGAATTTTTCGTAAGGTCCGGACATGAATTTTTGTCATTTTTGGCAAACCCGCAAAAAATGAAATTTTCGTAAGGTCCGGACCTGTCGTTCCAGCACTTTTGGCGAACCGGCCAAAAAAGCATTTTTCGTAAGGTCCGGACATGAATTTTTGTAATTTTTGGCAAACCCGCAAAAGATGAAATTTTCGTAAGGTCCGGACCTGTCGTTCCGGCACTTTTGGCGAACCGGCCAAAAAAGAATTTTTCGTAAGGTCCGGACATGAATTTTTGTCATATTTGGCAAACCCGCAAAAAATGAAATTTTCGTAAGGTCCGGACCTGTCGTTCCGGCACTTTTGGCGAACCGGCCAAAAAAGAATTTTTCGTAAGGTCCGGACATGAATTTTTGTCATTTTTGGCAAACCCGCAAAAAATGAAATCGCAAATTCAATTTCTCTTTGTACTACAGGTCCAAGGAAGTAGATCCCACCAAATTCAAAACCTCATTACTATGGGGTATATTGAAATTCATGACGTAGATTTAAGTAAAAATATTACATTAACAAACACTAAAACAATAATAATACGATAAGATGTTTGGAAGCGGCCAAGTACGACCAAAGGTCCAACATTATCACACAATATCAATCAAATGCCAACTCCCAAAACATAAGAGAAAAAGAGTATATTACTTAACTTAGAGACAGCTATGCCTAGACTGACTACCGACTACCAGCTGGTCACTGACGTCACCTTTTACCGCCAAATACTGACGTAACATATCCTGATTGGCTTGAACATAAAACTATATTTAAATTACCCTACTGACATTAATTCCACATATTTAACCTATGTACAAACCTAATGTAATAAAACAATACAATAAAACATAATACAATGTAATAAACAAAGTTGATACTTAAATAAGGGCTCAGTTGGTGTAGGCGAGTAGTGAGCGAAGCTGCCGGAGACACCCACACACCATCCGAAACAACGAATTTTATCAAAAGAACAGAAACTAACAGCGGGCACTCTTAACAAACATCCTAAATATTATTCCTACAATCATAAGTAAAGAAAATAAATACCCAAACAACACCAACGGCCATTTTTTTAAACACTCGGGGCAGCAAGCTCGAAGAGCAATCCCGAATGTTGGGTTACCGTTCGTTAACCCGACAAATGGATTCGTCAAACTCGAATATCAACTCCTAATATCGGGTTACTATTAGTAACTCGAGAGGGTTGGTACGCCTTATCCAAGATAAATGTAAATAAACAGGTCATCCGCGCACCAAAATCAAAGCAGGACATGAGCCGTGAAGAAGATAAAAATATAACAAAATCTAATATCTATTATCTATATTTTGCGGAAACTGTTGTATATTAGGTAAATTACTTTTGATAATAGTTTACAAGCTTGTTGCATTGCTATTGCAGATAATTTCCTTAAGAAATTTGTCCATAGTAAATTTAACCTTTGTTTATTGTTCCAGTGATGTAAGATAGGACTGACATGATTTAAATCGAGTGATTGAAAACATCATTGATCAATTGGGGCACTTTATTCTAACCCTGAGTTCGAAAATTTCTTCCAAAAAAATATTTTACGTAACCTAATCTAAACCTACAAATATTGGTAGTACAGTACCTAAACACAACCGGAACAACAACCCAAACGGTGAAATATAGCAGGATAAATTTTTTCTTGGGTAATTATCAGCGTGGGTCACAGATGACACTTGTTGTAAACTATTATCTCAGCATCTACCAAGTACATTTGGCTCATATTATATCTTCCCTATATATTATATTGGCGAATTGGAAATTGCATTACATCTATCTATCACAAAAAAATGTGCGTTACTTACCATACTTGAAGCTATAAGAGGATGATTATGGGAATGCAATGCTTGATAATATTGGAGAAGGGCGATGGCGAGACGAATAATCGGAGTTGAAGGTACGACGTCACAGGGGTACACGGCGGTCTCTTAAAAATATATACATTTCCATTGGAACCGGTTATTTGGACATTTAGATATTTGTTTTCTTTTTTATCTCATCTTAATTTACATATATTGTATTTCAGAGACGTTTTCTATTCATATATAACTAGTTTGAACATTCGGGAAGTCTTTCCGGTGCCTACCCATTCCCGAGGACTTATCCCGAACTTTCCAATAATATTGTCGGACTACCAAATGGTAACCCGACAAAATTTGGTTTACAAAAATGGATTACGGTCGGTCGGTGGTCAGTGTAGGACCACCTATAATCAGCAATCTGACATTGTCTGCGCTCACCTAAAACATCGTTGTTGAGAGGGAACAGTTTGCAGCCTCCTGTAATTTTACCTAATTTATAGATGACCACCTCAGACCTCTGAAAGCCAAACAACAGTGACCCTTATATCATCCATGTTTTATCTCCTTTTGACCCACTCAGTCACTGCCACCGCCAGCTTTTCAAGGGTGATTGCGGAAAACTTCATAACTTCTCCTTTTTCCTTTCCTTTGGTCTCTTTTAGGGAGAGGGACGAGGGGGCACAGACAGCACTGCTCACCATATAACTTAGGTAATGAGGGTGAGAGTGTGTGAATACATCCTCAAGAATACTCGTGTTTTTACTTGTTTCGTTTTGATTACTCTCGTATCGACATCTCTGTCTGTTATCAGCCCTTCACTATGATTATTTCATCGCCTTTCAAGCCTTTACTTGTGGTTATCCTCTTCACTCAAGCATCGGACTTGTCCTCTGTGCGTGTATGTGAGTGTGATTGCAAGAAAAGATGAAAGGATGGAACAGAAGAAACATTTGTTTTCATTTTATTTATATAACAATGGTACATATACATTTGAAAAATCAAAATTTGACTTGATCTACACCTAACTTAATAGTTAGTAACAAGGATTTCACAAGAACGCGGGATTTAGGGGCAGGAAAGATACACATTTCCCTCAAAGGGTATGTCAGCACTTTGTACTTGCCCACCATGAATACTGTCTTTTACGATACTCTCGTCTCCCCATTCAGCACACACTATGAAAGTTCGGAATCATCAACGCATTTTTGTTTACAGCTGACCAGTCTTGGCGAGGACAACTGCAATATTTTCCACGTTGGGGATGGGGCCACGGTTAAAGAGGGGTGGTTGGGTGGTGGTACGGATCCCCGTGTCCCTGCCAACAACGGGAGTATCTACAGGAGGGCCGTAGAGACGAAATGTGTTATCCCCAATAGGAGTCGACACGACAAATCTAGTTAACCCCGAGTTAAAATCTGATGAACCTGATGAGATTCCAGAGCCAGCAGAAGCTCCTGAGGAAGGAGAAACTCCAGAGGTGGAAGATCTTGTCGAACCAGTACTGGAAGAATCAGAGGATCCACCATCAGAGACAATAGAAGTACCAGAGGAAGTGGTGAAGCCAGACGATCCAATTCCAGAACCACTGGAAAAACCGAAGGAAGGAATTTGGCCATTTTCACCAGATAGGATCGCTGCTACACCAAGGGCAGGGCCAGTGGAAAAAGTGGATGAAAACCTAGAACCGGAGCTTGATCCAGTTGAGGAAAGGGAGCCAGATGCACCAGACAACTGGGGATTAGAATTTCCGGAAGATATGCCAGAACTGGCACCATCAGACCTTTCAGATGAGAATCCAGAACTGACACTGCTGGAACCGCCAGATTGGAATCCAGAACTGACACCACCAGAGCTTCCAATTGAGAATCCAGAACTGACACCAGCAGTATCAGTTCCAGTAGACACCTGGAAGGTAGGCTGGCCACGAGTAACTCCAGCTGGAACACCTTGACCAGCCAGGATCACTGCAACACCATCAACGGCCTGACCAGTTGAGGATCCAGAGTTGGATCCAGTTGAAGATCCAGTTGAGGATCCAGAGTTGAATCCAGTTGAGGTGGATGAAAACCTTGATCCTGATGATCCGGTGCTGGAGCCACTAGAAGCACCAGAGATGGCTGAGGATCCCGATGATCCACTTCCAGAGCCACTGGAGGTACTAGAGAAGGTTGCCTGGCCACCAGTAACCCCAGCACGAACACCTTGGCCAGTTAAGGATCCAGAGTTGGATCCAGTTGAGAAAGTGGAAGAAAGCTGAGACCCAGACGACCCAGAAGAGAACCGGGAATCTGTTGCACCCGTCAACTGAGAATTAGTACTTCCGGAGGGAGCTTCCAGATGAGAATCCAGAACCGACACCGCTGGAACTACCTGATTGGAATTCAGAACTTATACCAACAGAGCTTCCAGATGAGAATCCAGAACTGATACCGCCGGAACTGTGAGATTGGAATCCAGAACTGGCATCAACAGAGCTTCCAGATGAGAATCCAGAACTGACACCGCTGGAACTGTCAGGTTGGAATCCAGAACTGACACCAACAGAACTTCCAGATGAGAATCCAGAACTGAGACCGCCGGAACTGTGAGATTGGAATCCAGAACTGGCATCAACAGAGCTTCCAGATGAGAATCCAGAACTGACACCGCTGGAACTGTCAGGTTGGAATCCAGAACTGACACCAACAGAGCTTCCAGATGAGAATCCAGAACTGATACCGCCGGAGCTGTGAGATTGGAATCCAGAACTGGCATCAACAGAGCTTCCAGATGAGAATCCAGAACTGACACCGCTGGAACTGTCAGGTTGGAATCCAGAACTGACACCACCAGAGCTTTCAGATGAGAATCCAGAACTGACACCAGCAGTACCAGTTCCAGTAGACACCTGGAAGGTAGGCTGGCCACGAGTAACTCCAGCTGGAACACCTTGACCAGCCAGGATCACTGCAACACCATCAACGGCCTGACCAGTTGAGGATCCAGAGTTGGATCCAGTTGAAGATCCAGTTGATGATCCAGAGTTGAATCCAGTTGAGGCGGATGAAAACCTTGATCCTGATGATCCGGTGCTGGAGCCACTAGAAGCACCAGAGATGGCTGAGGATCCCGATGATCCACTTCCAGAGCCACTGGAGGTACTAGAGAAGGTTGCCTGGCCACCAGTAACCCCAGCACGAACACCTTGTCCAGCAAGGATCACTGAAGCACCATCAACGGCCTGGCCAGTTAAGGATCCAGAGTTGGATCCAGTTGAGGAAGTGGAAGAAAGCTGAGACCCAGAGGACCCAGAAGAGAACCGGGAACCTGTTGCACCCGACAACTGAGAATTGGTACTTCCGGAGGAGCTACCAGAAGATTGTCCAGAACTAACCCCACTGTAGCTTCCAGATGATAATCCAGAACTGACACCGCTATACCTGTCAGATTGGAATCCAGAACTGATACCATCAGAGCTTCCAGATGAGAATCCAGAAGTGACACCGCTGGACCTGTCAGATTGGAATCCAGAACTGACACCATCAGAGCTTCCAGATGAGAATCCAGAACCGACACCGCTGGAACTACCTGATGGGAATTCAGAACTTACACCAACAGAGCTTCCAGATGAGAATCCAGAACTGAGACCGCCGGAACTGTCAGATTGGAATTCAGAACTGACACCAGCTGTACCAGTTCCAGTAGACACCTGGAAGGTAGATTGGCCACGAGTAACTCCAGCTGCAACACCTTGTCCAGCCAGGATCACTGCAACACCATCAACGGCCTGACCAGTTGAGAATCCAGAGTTGGATTCAGTTGAGAAAGTGGAAGAAAGCTGAGACCCAGAGGACCCAGAAGAGAACCGGGAACCTGTTGCACCCGACAACTGAGAATTGGTACTTCCGGAGGAGCTACCAGAAGATTGTCCAGAACTAACCCCACTGTAGCTTCCAGATGAGAATCCAGAACTGACACCGCTGGACCTGTCAGATTGGAATCCAGAACTGACACCATCAGAGCTTCCAGATGAGAATCCAGAACTGACACCACCAGAGCTTTCAGATGAGAATCCAGAACTGACACTGCTGGACCTCTCAGGTTGGAATCCAGAACTGACACCACCAGAGGTTTCAGATGAGAGTCCAGAACTGACACTGCTGGAGCTGTCAGGTTGGAATCCAGAACTGGTACTATCAGAGCTTCCGGATGAGAATCCAGAACTGATACCACCAGAGCTTTCAGATGAGAATCCAGAACTGACACTGCTGGAGCTGTCAGGTTGGAATCCAGAACTGACACCACCAGAGCTTTCAGATGAGAATCCAGAACTGACACCGCTGGAACTGTCAGGTTGGAATCCAGAACTGACACCACCAGAGCTTCCAGATGAGAATCCAGAACTGACACCAGCAGTACCAGTTCCAGTAGACACCTGGAAGGTAGGCTGGCCACGAGTAACTCCAGCTGGAACACCTTGACCAGCCAGGATCACTGCAACACCATCAACGGCCTGACCAGTTGAGGATCCAGAGTTGGATCCAGTTGAAGATCCAGTTGATGATCCAGAGTTGAATCCAGTTGAGGTGGATGAAAACCTTGATCCTGATGATCCGGTGCTGGAGCCAATAGAAGCACCAGAGATGGCTGAGGATCCCGATGATCCACTTCCAGAGCCACTGGAGGGACTAGAGAAGGTTGCCTGGCCACCAGTAACCCCAGCACGAACACCTTGTCCAGCAAGGATCACTGAAGCACCATCAACGGCCTGGCCAGTTAAGGATCCAGAGTTGGATGCAGTAGAAGACAATGAAGCACCAGAGAATGTCGAGGAGCCTGATGATCCACTTCCAGAGCCACTAGAAGTACCAGTGAAGGTTGCCTGGCCACTAGTAACCCCAGCACGATTACCTTGACCAGCAAGGATCACTGAAACACCACCAACGGCCTGACCTGATCCAGTTGATGAGATGGATGAAAACCTGGATCCGGTGCTTGATCCAGCTGAAGTGGATGAAAACCTTGATCCTGATGATCCAGTGCTGGCGCCACGAGGAGCACTAGAGATGGCTGAGGATCCTGATGATCCACTTCCGGAGCCACTGGAAGTACTAGAAAAGGTGGAGGAGTCAGTTGATCCTCCGCTAGAACCTAGAGAAGCACGGGAGGAGCCAGTTATCCCAACTCCAGAGCCACGGAAAGCACCAGAGAATGTAGAGGACCCGGATGATCCTCTGACAGATCCTTGGGAAGAACTGGAAAAGGTTGAGGAGGCGGGTGATCCTTTTATAGATCCACGGAAAACACCGGAAGAGGATGGGGAGCCTGATGAAGATCCGGATCCGAATCTTGATCCAGAGGAAGATACAGAACCCCCACGACGGATCACGGGTCGGAAGCCTCTCTCATCTGCTACGTAATCCACAGTAAAAGTCTCACCATTCGGAGCAGTCCATCTGCAGGGTTGGACGAACGAGCGATTATTTTATCATAGAAGGAGCATTCAACAGTCACAGGAACTCAAGTATACTCGGTGAGATACATACACAGACACACGCAAGTGAAATGAGATGCCCATATAATATACATACATACACACTCATGCACTTACAATATACATACTTACAAACACACTCATGGACATGCGCATACACATAAACAATATTACATTTTCACACCTATTACGATCTAGCTCCATTATATAGCAATCGCCACACGTTGGCTAGAAAATTAGAAATATGAAACTTTATCGGTATGATTGTTTCTGTGACAAACTGAAACTTGCAAGGCTCTTGTCCTCCTGGAGCTGGATTCACAAAGGTTCATACAAAGAAAAATCCTCGTAAATACACAAAAATCACATAAAAATTATAACATTAGTTTTGCTGAGACTACCTTTAACTGGAAACGCTCACTTAGCAACAGGTGTTTAGTGTACATATCTATTATGGTCGTCTCATCATAATGTTCATGTTATTTTTAATGTGTTTTATATGTTTCAGCTTAAGTCACCCGGTTAGTACAGTTGCAGAAATGTGTTTCTCTGCCCCATGTGGTAACAAGTGTCACCAAACGGCCAAGTTATATGACCTATACTCCCATAGCAAACCATTCCACCAATCACGTCCATCGTTACAAGACCAATACCCATTCATTGATAAATAGTTATAATACTACCGCGACGTTGCCGTTTGGAGATATTGGTTACCACAGAGGGTGAAGGAACACATTTTCGCAACTGTACCACCTTACATAATTCGTTACGAGGATCCAGATCTTGGTGGTGTGACTTACGAGTAAGAACCAGTAACGCCGGGCTTGTTGTCGTCAGTAGTAGCAGCGAACTCACTTTGACGAATAGAGTTAGTGACGACCGTAAAGCGCTCGTTGGTGGGGTTGACCTGATCTTCGTGGTGGTGATGGTGGTGGTCGTCGTCGTGGTCGTGGGCGTGGTCGTGGGCGTGGAGTAGGCCGTCCAACTTGGCGGCCACCGTCAGCCCTAGCAGGGCCGTGAACACCACCTGCCAGTGAGGAGAACAACGATGATGTACACCTACACTCTTACGGTTCCTACTTACGCCTGAAGAGAGAGACCTCGTTCTTTCTTTTTTTTAGATCTTGGCATCTAGTATGAACACAACCAGGTCAGAGGATGCTATCATCACTGAAATCAAGATCCTCTCCGGGGGTGCCAGTGGTAGAACGGTACCGCTCTTGCCTCGCAAGCGAGAGATGTCACGGGTTCGATTCCCGGACCGGTGGAAAAGTTGTTTGGACATACTTCCTAGCCCTCATTGGTCCCTGTTCACCTAGCAGTAATGTAGGTACAGTCATGAACAGAAGTCCTGTCGCCCCTTGTGCTGTTCCGCGAACCAAGAGATTCAGACTCATGAACCCGAAGCAGTAGACACTGGTGCATTATTCTGCCCATAAATGCTTCGGATTCATGAGTCTGAATCTCAGAGTTCGTGGAGCAGCAGAAGGGGCGACAGGACTTCTGTTCACGACTGTACCTGTTATAAATCGAAAGTTGCGAATTCGTATTCAGGGAGTTGTTGGAGCCACTAACACGGCTAACACACAGCTCACTGCCTGACACTAACACAGCTAACACACAGCTCACTGCCTGCCACTAACACAGCTAACACACAGCTCGCTGCCTGCCACTAACACAGCTAACACACAGCTCACTGCCTGCCACTAACACAGCTCACTGCCTGCCACTAACACAGCTAACACACAGCTCACTGTCTGCCACGAACACGGCTAACACAGCTCAGTTACCACTAACACAGCTAACACACAGCTCACTGCTGCCACTAACACAGCTAACACACAGCTCAGTGCCTGCCACTAACACAGCTCGCTGCCTAACACACAGCTCACTCACTGCCTGCCACTAACACAGCTAACACACAGCTCACACACTAACACAGCTCAGTGCCTGCCACAGAACAGCTAACACACAACTCACTGATTACCACTAACACAGCTAACACACAGCTCACTGCCTGCCACTAACACAGCTAACACACAGCTCACTGTCTGCCACGACACAGCTAACACACAGCTCACTGATTACCACTAACACCTAACACACAGCTCAGTGCCTGCCACAAACACAGCTAACACACAGCTCACTGTCTGACACTAACACAGCTAACACACAGCTCATTGTCCCACCCTGAACACAGCTAACACACAGCTCACTGATTACCCACTAACACAGCTAACACACAGCTCAGTGCCTGCCACTAACACAGCTAACGCACAGCTCACTGCCTGCCACTAAAACAGCTAACACACAGCTCACTGCCTGCCACTAACACAGCTAACACACAGCTCACTGTCTGCCACGAACACGGCTAACACACAGCTCACTGATTACCACTAACACAGCTAACACACAGCTCAGTGCCTGGCACTATCACACAGCTCACTGCCTGCCACCAACACACAGCTCACTGCCTGCCACTAACACAGCCAAGAAGGTACCCGGGACTTACAACAGTCTTCATGGTCGCGGCACTGGTTGCTCTCACCAGTGTGGCCTCTCAGTTCATCTGCTCTGCCTTATATACCAACGACCTCCTGTCCTTACCCGCCCTGCCCTGCCCCGCCTCCTCTTGCCTCGTCTCAACCCTTTGTCCTACACACCCCACTATGCCCCGCCTCCCACAATTACCAACTCACAGCCCTACCACCTCCTCCCTTACCTCCACCATATTCTTCCCCACCCCACCTACCCTCCACCCATACCACCCAGCCATCTCCTCTTCTTCTATTTCTTCTTTTCCGTCCCGCCCACCTAACCTGCCAAATATGCCTACGTTCCGCCCACTCCAATCTCACCACTCGGAATAGGCAAACTGTACTCCAGGCTTTGTCAATAAATTTGTTAAGCTAAAAAACTCCACCCATTCCATCTCCTCTATTTTCCTCTTATTTCCACTTACACAACCCCAGGCCACGACTCCTCTCCACCCTCCGTAGTGGGAATTTTAACAGAGTTTTCGCCCAGAATATTGACGAATCGGTCTTATTATCGTGTTCGGAGCGTCTGTAACCATTAGTTTCCCCGAAAGACGCTGCAATATTTACCAGCATGTACAAATTTTCAATTATTTCTTGAAACTTAGCAGAAACGTTGACACCCCCACCACCACAAGACCTTACACGATTTTTAATATTAGACATACATTAAATATCATTGTTAAGGGAATTTAATCGTAAGTCCAATATAACTTGAGCGCTTACAATCTGAGTTTATTACGTGTCTGTTCTGTCTATACATTCTCGTGTTCTATACTATGTTTCGTCTTGTAGTGTAAAGCTAGTGCTGAAGTTAGTGATTCAAATTATTATTATTATTATTATTAGTAGTAGTAGTAGTAGTGGTGGTAGTGTCATTCCAATTTCGGATCTCTGACTCTAAACTTGTACAAAAATGACGCCTAAATAGAGTACTCAGACATATTATATACACATAAAAACACGAGATCCAGCTCAAGCATGACACCTTATTATAATCCCTTAAAACCCGACCGTTATGATAGTGTCACTGGCGTTTGATATATTTGAACTTGAAGGACAACAAAACCTGCTTAATTTACGTATTTATAACTCTTAATATGTCATTCATTATTCTTCTCTTATTTCCCAAGGCCAATAAAGACCTTGAATATTGTGCTGAAGTTTTTCTCTCGTCATATGCATATTAATCGTTCGTCCTATAGGTTAACCTAACTTAACTCAACCTAATCAAACCGAACCTAATTAAACCTAACCAAACCTACCCAAATATAATCTAACCAAAACTACCTAAACGTAATGTAACCTAACCTAACTAAAGCTAACCAAACCTACCGTAAGATAAAATAACCTAACATAACTTAACCTAATCAAACGTACCCTAACCTAACCTAGCTTAACCTAACCAATCCTACCTTAACCTTATCTAACTAAATTTACCTTAACGTAACGTAATCTAACCAGGATTTTTTAAGGACTTCATAATTAACCTTTTGGAAATTATCAAGAAGCGGTTGCCACACTTCCAAATTTTCAATGGTATCGATTTACAGCATGTTAGTGTACCGTCAGCTTACGACATAAGTGAATGGTGTCGGCTTACAATGAGAACATTGCTGTAGATACGTGAGACGGGTAGATAGGTGCTCGTGAAGGGGTGATGAGTGTCACTATACCACCACTATTTAATGTTATTACAGACAGGAGGCGTACTAAGGAAAGTATTGACTGTAACTTGTTAAAAACCTGAAAGGAAGAGATCGTTTCACTCAAACAGATACTGTACAGACATTGCTGGGTTTATTGAGACATGAGTGTAAGGTTAGCGGATGTATACAATAAGTATGGTGCGGTGACACTAATCAGTCCATTGTCCGTCGTACTTCTGTAACATTTTCACTGTGTTGTAGTGAACGAGGCAACAGAACACTACGACATTTATAGGGAACTTATTACTACCCATCCACCATGTGATGTACCCCTTACCCTTACCCATCCACCGTGTGATGTACCCCTTACCCTTACCCATCCACTGTGTGATGTACCCCTTACCCTTACCCATCCACCGTGTGATGTACCCCTTACCCTTACCCATCCACTGTGTGATGTACCCCTTACCCTTACCCATCCACCGTGTGATGTACCCCTTACCCTTACCCATCATCCACCGTGTGATGTACCCCTTACCCTTACCCTTCCACCGTGTGATGTACCCCTTACCCTTACTCATCCACCGTGTGATGTACCCCTTACCCTTACCCATCCACCGTGTGATGTACCCCTTACCCTTACTCATCCACCGTGTGATGTACCCCTTACCCTTACCCATCCACCGTGTGATGTACCCCTTACCCTTACCCATCCACCGTGTGATGTACCCCTTACCCTTACCCATCCACAGTGTGATGTACCCCTTACCCTTACCCATCCACCATGTGATGTACCCCTTACCCTTACTCATCCACCGTGTGATGTACCCCTTACCCTTACCCCCTCCTGCACATGACGCCCACCACCTTCACCTCAGCTTCACCTTCACCACCGCCACTGTCTCACACAGGTATTGGCAGCAGCGTCCTTCTCTTCGGCCAGACACACAATCAGATTCCACTTAATTATTTTTTTTTAATTTTAATATATTTCTTTACTAAGAGTTTACTAGTCGTTCGGGTGGTTGCTCTGTTTTATTTATTTATTTTATTTATTTTTTACATTGTTACCACCTTCATTGTCCAGTGTTAGTACAGGAGGAAAAAATAAGAAGTGCCGAAGAATATCACCATTCCCAAAGTTGTTCATAATGGTTCACCAAATGACTGTCCCTATACACTGAAAAGGTTGACTTAAATAAAAACACAGAAAATAAAGTCCTATAATATAATATAAAAAAAAACATTGTGACTCGACTTAAATACATTTACACAACAGCGAGGAAGAGACAATATCTACAACTAATATTCATGGTTGAGTCTCGGTATAGCAGTCATAATTATACGTGGTGTTTTAGCTAAAGTCAACCAGTTAGATGTATTCTTACAACTTCAGTTACGAGGAATATCCACCGTAGGGCCCTTTGAGAATAAGTACCGAGACTACTATAGCCAATACTATAAATCTTCGTGTCTTGTAGGCCTACGGGGGAATGGGATAGGCCTACGATATTTTACAGTGTAGCTGGTTTTGTTAACGGGTATTGGTGTATGGTAGAGTACGCCTGCTATATCAAACTCGTTGGAAGTGTTTTAGTGATTCTGTATATTTAACATTAGTGCTAGAACTGTGATGCAAGTATGTTTTTTAATCTTTCCTTTACTGTATATAAATTACGTATGTCTATATATCTTTCTCATCATAGTATGTCTTAACACTACACTCGTATATTTAGGAAACAAACACAAAGTACAGGATCATCTGGAAAATGAGGATGAATATTTCTCCAGCGTAAACCATAATATCACAGGTTTTATTTATCTGTTTTCGTATAGTTTAGTGTTGTGAAGGAGGGAGCCAACTCGGTACTAGGAGCGACACGACTTCCATTTATCTGCCTCTGAAAGACGACGAGTCACTTGTATAAGAACTTCTCTTTATTGGAGAGTCACTTAACACCGAAATGGTGAAAATTTTAACCAAATTCTTATTATAATCTTCAAGTGTGTTGCTCCAGCTTGGAGACGTTGTAGTGCGAGTTACATAACGATGGGAAATCCGGAGGGGCTTCCACGACTATCATCCCCCCCTCCCCACACACACACACAGATGAGACAGATAAGAGGCTATAGTGGAGATGTAGTTCTAGGGAGGACCTGTATTTCCAGGTGTTCACTGGTCAACTAGGTGAAGTTGCTCCTTGTCTCTCGTGCCATCTTTTAGATGAATAAAATTTTCTGAGGGTGTAAGATGCTGAGTCCGTTGTCGGGATGAGACGAAGGCATGTGGCAGTGAGACACGGGAGAAAAGCGGCCTCTCGGAACAAAGGGATAGGGAGCCCCACACCTGTCCTGCTGGGTCACCCGGATGTCACCTAGTCAATTTATGTTCTCCACTAGTTAATCCTCTTTGACTTTCCCTGACACTTTAAAGCTCAGCTCTTCTAAATGTGAGGAGAAGCACAGATCATAGTGTTACCATGTCTGTCATAGTGTATACGAGTCATAAGCATTTATCCTGAGTGTTTGTTTACATTTGTGCTGGCAAGAGCGGCTGACTCTGCCTTTCACTCTGATCTCGAGATGATACGTGATCACCCCCCTGGTACTGCCTTGCCAGCTGCACGTGTATGAAAGTAATGCAACGGTGGATGGGTGGTGAGAGGAACTTGAGGAAAGACTTGGAACTTATGGGTTGGAAACTGCATAGCTGGTGTAGACAAGGTAGCGAGCGACCGGGCAGTGTGTGTGAGTTCGGATTTGCAGCGGAAAATTCATTGGTTAAATTGTTTACTCTTTCTGCAGGGCATCTGAGAACGTCTCGAGGTCGTGGCAATAAAGCCAAAACAAGTAACAACCATAGTAACATCAAGACTGCAGTAAAACTTTGCCTGATTGGATGATATACACTCTCCTATCCTTGTCGAGTTAGAGGAAAGGAATTCAACGCACAAATAGTCGTGAACTCGGCCTACTGAGCAAAGTTGCCCCGTGATGTATTGTATCGCAGTCTTGATGGAAGTGAACAACATTCCGTGTGCCTTTGTATATCTGAAAATATATTTTTTTTTATGGAAGTCAGGTCGCTCAGTCCATCCATGTGTTGTTCCACCATCATTTGTGTACCTAAAGGAATTACAGGAAGATAAAACAAAAAAAATACACAAAATCAGCATAAGCTCAGTGTCCTGTACAGGTGAGGGTTACCTACGCCACTGAATACCGAGACAAGAAAAAAGACGATAATGAAGGATGATTATTATAGTGGGAGATGAAAGGAAGAGATAATGGTGGGAGATGAAAGGAAGTGAAGGGAGGTGTTGCTTCGGTCTTATCTAAGGTAATCTGAACTTGTCCC